TTTATATAGTGTGAAAATTGGTTATCAAAAGAGTTTCAGTCGTATAAGGAAACTGCAGAATCGGCCCCCGAACTTGATCTATGCGACCGCATAGTACATTTCTATGTTGTCTCATAGAGTAAAAAAAAAAATTTGAGAAAAAAATTCTCGGGAGGCCTCTGTGCGACCGCATAGAAGTTTATACCATGCGACCACATGGTTATGTCATTCTTTCCGCCGGACAGATTTTAGTATTTTGGTCATAACTTTCACTTCTGATCTCTGATTGAAGTAATTAAAAGTGCATTGGCAAGAAAACTCAAAGATATACAATTTTGATAGAAATAGGCTTTCTCAAATTCTGATGTTTACTATGCTAAAAATGGATCTCAAGTAGAGATTAAGAATCACGAGCATAACTTTTTCGCCTGAAAGTTGATACTTGATAATACTTCGACCATATTTCACCTCTTTGACTCCTTTCCTCATCCGATTGACCTCTAACACTCTTGAATCTTCATTCCATTGCCCGTCTCATCTATGAATTATTTGCAACTTGATCCCCGAACTTCAACTTTAGTCCATTTTCGCTTGTTTCTTTAATTTCTATCATCTCATAATATCACCAAATTGGTACTTAGCTCATTCACTTCCTTGATTTGTCCTTCGGACCATATTTTGGATAATTTCACTTTGGTCCCTGAACTTTTATTTTCTTTCATTTTGCTCCTTTTTTTTGAATCTTTTCTCATGAATCCCTTTATATCCATCAATATGGCCCTATAGCATGAAATTGCATAGAATGAAGTCATAATCAACCAATTTTATCAATAATTAGTTATGTTTTGTGGACCGAATAAGTGTAAAAACACACTTATTAGTGGCCGCTCGAGGGGCCTTCGAGCAGTCGCACGGCCTGAATTTCTAATTTGGGCCTAAAGGATATGTTCATTGAGAGCCCTGCAGGATTTCTATTTTAAGACAAATAGTCAAGAATTTTTCCAATCCCTCTTCGGCTTTCCTGTGCCCATTCATTTCACTGTGGCTGCAAATAGTCCACTGAGATTTTTATTTGTGGTTTGTTTCTTTGGACAATCATTTTATTTGTGCATTTATTCATTCAATTGATGATCGATAATTTTCAAATAGAACGATTTTATCGACCTAAACGAAAGTCCCAACTTAGTTCTTCTAGTCGAGCACAGGGGTTGTTAGCCATTGATAGCACAAAGAAGTCTCAGGCTCAATTCAATGTGGATTCGTTATTACAGCCGTTAATGGTCAATTATCGCCCTAACTCACTCTACTTCCTGAATTCATCCCTCTATATATTTATCTCTTATCCAAATTTATGATTTCTGTTATTAAGAGATAAACGTAAAAATCGCCTCTTGCTGTCATGATGATTTTCAAATCAATCAAACATTGATCAGCATTCGAATGAATCAAATGTAATCATGAAAACTAAACATAAGATTGAGTATAGTGAAAGTAAAAACTATATAATAGAAATCAAATCATCCTAACTATATATTTTGACATCTAATCACAAATTTAGCACATGTTCGAATTACAAATACGAATAAACATAATTGTAAATGATATCACCGGGATTAAAGATAAACAATAAGGTAGAGAGGAAGAATTGTTGATCTCATCACCAAAACTCTGAGATTTGCCTTTTTGTTCTTCGCTAACCTTCTTTTCTAAAAATATTTTGCTTAGAATATTTCTATACAATCGTGAATTGTTAAAATATTTGTCGTCAATAACAAAATAAAAATTGTAGTAGCAAAAATCATCTCCAATGCAAGCTAATGTGGACTCTATCAAGCTGATGTAGCAAAGAAAATTATATAAAAAAAGTCTAAAACTTTGTCTGCTTTCAAAGGTTTTGTTAGACATAATTGCATAGCAAATTATTTTACTCTCTCTCTCTCTCTCTTAAACACTGTTTTAATTAAACATAAGATTTTCTCTCTCTTCCTCTCTCTCTCACACACACTTTCAAACACTATGTTAATTAAACATAAGATTTTCTCTCTCTTCCTTTTCATGTTACTTTTATTTTAGGATAGATAAAAGATAGGCGGGCATTAATATTGGATTGTAGATACAATCCACTAGACCCGAATTTTAGAACTTGTACATCTTTTAACTCATTTGATATGTAGACGGCAATCTATAGAATGCATTAAAGATGCTCTGAGATGCTATCGTCTATATCCAACTCTATTGATATTAATAGGTAGCTCTTCATAATTGTGCTGAAGATGCATGTTGTATATAGCGTTGAAGGTGTGTATTGTGCAGTGATGGATCTAGAATTTTGAGTCAGCACAGGCGATCGTTGAGGGCCAATCGTCGGCCCAATAAAATATTACAAGCTCGTTGGATGTAATTTTTTTTTTGGCAAAAAATGCATTTTGGAAAATAGTGATTTGATGGAAAATATGTGGTTAAAAATAAGTAAAAGCTTTGAATTTCGTGTAATATTATTTTATTGAAAAATATATGATTGAAAATAAAATAAAGAAAAATATATTTTAAAATAAATGGAAATTAAGCAAGACCTAAAATTTAAACATAACAATTATTTTGTTAAAATTCAACATATATAATTTTGTTAAAACAATAAACTATATTCATCAAATAACATTGTTGCCAAGTTTTATATAATTCAAAAGAAGAGCACGAGTTCAAATTTGTATTGTTGCATTAAAACAAGCTAAGATCTAATATATATAAATTTGTTATATATGTCATCACAATTCAACAACCGGCATAATGGTCAAACCATTAATAATTTTAACAATAGCTCCAGGTTCGAATCCCCTCCTCCTCATTCCATTAATTTTTGGTAAAAATTGTAAAGCTAAAAAAATTGAACAAAAAGTTGATTGATGAAGAATCGAACCAGGGACCTGCAAGAAGTAAAAACCAACACTCACCAACTTGGCCAGAGGGAATGATTAAATGGAAAATGATAATCAGAAATATAACCTAAAAATTCATCTATTCTCAAACAAAAAAAATGGGCTGCCGGCGGATCCAGCACTCGCGATCGCGGGTGCTCGCCAGGTGCTGGATCCGCCAGTGGTATTGTGTAGGGTTCCATTCACACCTTGAGCGCTCAAATTGCCTTTGGAGTTGAAAACTAATTAAACATTTGTACTTAGGAATATGATCGCTCACACATCAGAAATTTCCTTGTTGCAAGAAGTGAAGACGGTTAGCACTATTTAGTTAGTGTGTCTAAATATATTAGTGAGATGATGTAGAAGTCGAAATTATTGACAGTTTGGTTGTACAAAAGAAATAGACATGAATAAAAATAGATGAAAGTTCAGATTTTAGGGACCACATCTACAAGTTGAATATGTGCATTACTCAATTCGCTAAGGTAAAAATTGAAGGGAAGATCAAGCAATTATTTTTTGGCATCTCTTCCAAAAAATGGTTTGAACTCTTGCATCAACATAACTAGTCTATAAATACATTGATTGCTTACGATCATACTAAAAGACGAGTAAGTACACCTTGTTAAAGTAGAGAGTATCATCGAAAATCAAAGTTTAAGTCTGATTTACGGCATGATAGAAGCTCGTCGCACTTGAGATTATCGAATTATCAAATTTGTCTTATAAACTTCTAATCTGCTAATAATTTTGTGGACAAGGTAGTGTTTTTACAGTGTCTTGTCCATAAGCATAAAATAATGATTAATTATTGAACAAAGTCACAGTAGTGATTAATAGGCGTTGAAATCTCTATCATTAGTAGGTCTATTGACCCATAAATGATTAAAAATCAATCTTATTGCAGAACAATTTTATACAATAGTGCCAATCAACTTTTCGAAATAAAACCCAACTTATAATTAGGGACGAATCCAGGAGTCGAGTTCAATTAGGACGGATCGCGAGCGTTGAAAGTTTACTATCGACGACCAACTTCCGTAATAGTAGGGGTTTTTGTTAATATTTATTTAAATAATTTTCAAAAAGTCGTATAGATTAGAACTAGAACTAGGTACAAACCTTCATTTTGGATGAAAAAATCATTCCATAATGTGCAAAATGCCTTAATTTATTTTTCAATTAAATATGCAATATATATTAACAAAATGTCAATATTTAATTTACAATTAAAGTTAATTAAACAAGTATTATTATATTAACAAAATTGAAATTATTTATGTGCTTATATCGATATTATGTGCTTGTATGATTTCACTTTTTCGCAATCGATTTTCTGTGAACGAAAGGTGGAACCTTTTATTAATTAAATAAATTTTGTTGAAAGATTCCTTATGACATTAAGGTCAATTTTTCTATAAATTCATTTACCATTAATTGACCGAACTCTCAAATCAATTGATTAGGGGGAAAAAAAAAAGAAAAAGAAAATCAAGAAGAAAGATAAAGCACTGGTTAAAATGTTTCTAGTTGCATTAAACCAGTAAAATTGAACATATATTATTTTGTTACATTATGCGCTAAAAATCAATAAGTGTCATGATGGTAAAGTGGTCAATATGTTTAATGAAGATAGCATGTTTGAATCATCTTTCTTGCATTTGTTTTGGTAAAAATTGTTGAAATACAAAAATTATAAAAAATATTGTTCTTGAAGAATTTTGAATACAAGATCTCCAATTCAGGAGTGGAAGGGCTAACCAGTTGAACTACAAAAAATGTTTGTTGTTAATATGAATTATCAAATATATAATCTAAAAATTATATCTATTATCAGCAAAAAAAATTTTTCCCCAACGAATCCAGCTAGAGTGTCGCCGCCCACTAAAAATTAATGAAAATTAATGACAAAGCAAACAGAAAATACAAATTAATGAAAATAAATCCACAAAGCTATTGTCATGTAGGATCCAAATAATACAAAAAATGGTGTAAAGGGACTGAAGCTACTAAAATATTAGATGGGGACCCTAACTGTAATATTTCCTGAATAAAATCAATGGCTCAATCAATGGTAGTAGCTTAAGGCGAAGCATTTTTGCTCAGTGTAATATAATTGTTATCACCTTCCAATCATCTTCCATAACAGTCCCCACGGCCCCCCACCCACTCCACCTGTTGAAACTTCAACGCATTGCCCAATATCTACGGAAACTTCTCTAAGTCGCTTGTTGCTTCAAGAATTTTAATAGATCTTCGTTTTTCTCTGTATTTTCCAGTATCCCAATATGGTTATGAGTCTGAGTTCTAGTTTTGTGGCGAGTTCTCGCGATCCCAGATATCCACTGAAACATTTAGTCTCACCCCATCATAGATTGATCAACTCCAATTTACTCTATCGGAAATGTAGACCACATCTTGTTACAAGAATTCAAACGCTTCAAGTTTACTGCAACTCCCAGGTGACTGCCCAGTACACTTTTGTGTCTGAATCTAATATTACTGTAATTGGTTCTTGAATGCCCTTGTGATGTTACTGAGTTTTCGTCGAATTTATTGTTGTAATTTGGTTTAAGCTGATTCTTGAGTGATCACTTCATTTCCTGGAAACTGTTCTGTTACTAGTTTGAATTTCATGCGATTCCCAAGTACCGTTTTCAATAATAAAATTTTTTAACCTCTGTTCTAGTTATGGGTTGATTAAATTTAGTTTTGATAACCCACCCACTTGTGCATACAATTTTTTGATGTATTTTGATGAGCTATTAACGTAACTTCATTTCGGGCTCATCATTCATACATTATGAATTTCTTCCACGTGAATGAATTAAATGGCATTTAGGCCAAAAGGGGAAAATATAAATTTGCTGTGAGATTTTGATTTGTAGATGAGGTCAAGATCAATAGGATAACTCGTTGGAATTAGGGGGAAGGTTAAAATCAGAAAATTGTTCGAAACAAAAACAAATAGAAAACCTCCATATTTGGTTCATTTGATTTTTGCAATACTTTGCTTTTTATGATATATTAGTGCTTTGGCTGCGGCAATCTTGAACATATTTTGTAATGGGAACTGCTCATATGAAGAATCTAAATTATTACTAGTTATTTAGAATATGATCTTGTCCAACATTTGTACTCGTAATATTATTGGTGTTGTTAGCAAACTGAGAATTGCTGTAAATTTTATACTTGTTGAACCAGGCTCAAGGCATTAGGTAAAGTTTTTCCCAATCATCTTAATTAAAATATTAAATGATCATAAAGGGTTGGACAAGGGATGAATAACTGAGTATTAGGAGGAGTTAAGGTCCTGGAAACTTCTTGCACAAGTGGTAATCAACATTCTGACTTTCATAGATGAAGCTAGAATGTTAATCTGGTTTTTATCCACCTTCTAACAACTGGTTACTGTCACCTGCCTACCTATCTACTCACACCATTTTTTCTTATATTTGTTTGTTTACCTGCATTTAGTGGGTAGGTTCTGTGCTTGTGGGTGAGTTGAACTCAATGGCTGTAACGCTTACATACTGGGATCCATGAAGATCAATAACTCATTCTCCCCGCAGCTCTTATACTTCCTTTCATTAAGAAATTTAATTTATATGAATGTGGTGTGATATTGATTTCCAGGCTGCAGACTTTTATCCCTTTCTCCAACAAAAGAAAAAGGTTCTGAATGTAGGAATTGGGGCTTGAAAGAATGCAAAATTTAAGGATCTAACATCTACATGCATTTATCTTTTTACAGGCAAAGGAAATGCAGATCAGAAAGTTTTCCCCCATTCTAGAAAATATGCTACTGTCAGGAAATGGGGTCTTGCCTTCTAAAGAGTGGAAAGCAGTTCCTGACATTTGGAGGACTTCTGCAGAAAAATTTGGTGATCGTGTAGCATTGATGGACCCATACCATGACCCTCCTACAAATATGACTTATAAACAGGTCAGTTTCTAGTCTCTGTTTCTTTATATTCTCTATCATTCTACAGTTGGGATTTTGTAATTAATGCGGACTAGGTGCTGTTGCAATGAGTAAGACAATGATTTGCCGTTTGTTTTGGGATTCACTATATGTACCCAGAATTTCATGCTTTTTGGATCAACAGTTGGTAGATTGTGGGCTTCATTTTGCTATGTCACTTTTCTAAAATGAAAGACATGAGCATCTACAATTTTCGTATGATGATGTAAGACTGGATGCGGGTGCTTTATATCAGAATGCTATGGTGAGAAATAGGGAAGGAATATGCTGCAGAAATATATTGGATTACACTTCAAAAAACTAGAATGAAAAAACGGGAATCACTCCTAGGCATCATGCCTTATGTGGTTTGCATCTAACAAACCTGACACAGAATTTTAGCTGTAGACAATGTCTTTTTTTCAGTTATGCATTCTTGGCCATTAATCCAATTCACTGCCATTTCATTTCTTCATAGTGAAATGGACGAGGAAGTGTATATGAAAATTTCAGCTCGGCATTGGAGGAAATCTTGGGAGCAGGATGTGTATCATTCAAAGACGTCCTTATAAGGTTAAAGCAGTCTACTAGGACATGGTTTTGAAGGTTTACAGAGTCAATGGTCAAGAATGGATGTCATCAAAGTCAAGGAGATCAAACTCTATTCATTAAACACTCCACGAGCATGAGGATTACAACATTAATTGTATTTGTTGATGATATAATAATCACTGAATATGATGAAAAAGAAATGCCCAACTTAAATGTGTATCTTGCAAAAGGACTTTGATATTAAGATTTGTGGATCCTTCGTTACTTTCTTGCATGAAGGTTGCTCAGTCCAAACAAGGAATCTTCTTAAACTAGGAGGAATATATACAAGATATTTTGAAAGAGAACAATATACTTGGGAGAGGACCAAGTGATTATCCAATGGAAAGTAGCTATGAACTAGAATGAAAAGGGAAGATGAGGTTTCTGATCAAGGAATATATGAGAAATAGTAGGGAGATTGATCTAATAATTACCAAAAGATTGATATTACCTATAGCATGATCAATGTGAGCAATTTCATGCATGCGCTGTTTAAGTCTCGTAATGTTTTGTATTTAATTTTGAGCTATCTTAAGAGTAGTTTAGGTAAATGAATTCTTTCAAAAAAGAATGGCGATCTATAGGTGGAAGCTACATTAATGCTGATTGGACAGGTTCTACCACTAATTGAAGATCCCCTACTAGCTGTTGTACCTTCCTTGGAGGGTACCTTATTACACCATATGGAGAAGTAAAAAACAAGTTGTTGTTACCTATTGAAATGCTGAAACAGAGTTTACAGCGGTGGCTCTAGAAATCTGCAAAAAGTTATGGCTGAGATCACCTCAATAATTTAAAAATTAGCAATCGAGTCTCCTGTAAGACTATATCGTGACAAGAAGTAGCTTATAATATAGCTTACAGTCTGTTCCAGGATCACGAGACAAAACATGTCAAGATTGAGACTCTTTATCAAAGGAAATAAGACTTAGGCCTAATCTGCACTCCATTTGTATCCTTGATCAATCTCTGGCTGATGTTCTTAGCAAGGGTCCACCTAGGCAACTTTCCAAAAAATTGTTGGCGAGTTTACACCCGCTTGAAGAGTACTGACGAAAAGTTTAATTGTGTATTTGAATGAAAGTTGCCTTTTAGCTTACACTAGGTCATAATTTATGTGAGGAGATCTGGTCATTAAGGGAGCTTCTGTTGATAGGATCTGGTTTTATTCTAGGATCCTTGCTTTATTTTTCTAGGACATTTTTTTTTTTTTTTTATTTTAGTTTTCATTTTTGATGTTTAGGGGTGAACTCTATTATTTTTTTTTTGGGTTGTTTAACAGTCGTTGGGGAAAAGGCAGATTCAATCTGATTGGACAGGTTCTACCACTAATTGAAGATCCCCTACTAGCTGTTGTACCTTCCTTGGAGGGTACCTTATTACACCATATGGAGAAGTAAAAAACAAGTTGTTGTTACCTATTGAAATGCTGAAACAGAGTTTACAGCGGTGGCTCTAGAAATCTGCAAAAAGTTATGGCTGAGATCACCTCAATAATTTAAAAATTAGCAATCGAGTCTCCTGTAAGACTATATCGTGACAAGAAGTAGCTTATAATATAGCTTACAGTCTGTTCCAGGATCACGAGACAAAACATGTCAAGATTGAGACTCTTTATCAAAGGAAATAAGACTTAGGCCTAATCTGCACTCCATTTGTATCCTTGATCAATCTCTGGCTGATGTTCTTAGCAAGGGTCCACCTAGGCAACTTTCCAAAAAATTGTTGGCGAGTTTACACCCGCTTGAAGAGTACTGACGAAAAGTTTAATTGTGTATTTGAATGAAAGTTGCCTTTTAGCTTACACTAGGTCATAATTTATGTGAGGAGATCTGGTCATTAAGGGAGCTTCTGTTGATAGGATCTGGTTTTATTCTAGGATCCTTGCTTTATTTTTCTAGGACATTTTTTTTTTTTTTTTTAATTCTAGTTTCCATTTCTGATGTTTAGGAGTGAACTCTATTATTTTATATATGGGTTGTTAAGCAGTCGTTGGGAATAAGGCAGATTCAATTTTTCCCTGGAATTTCTACAGAAACAAATGTGAAGTGGAAGTATTCGAGAAAATGTATTCTCAGTGGCCATAGATCATGCATATTGGGTTCATTCCATTCTTAAGCTATTGCAACATTCGAACTCAGGCTGCTTGTCATGCTGTTTTTTCTGAAAGATAAAAACCCAAGAAATGACAATTCGTCTCTGATAGCCATAATGATGTTTAATGAACCTAGCTAAAACTTGCCAATAAACTTCTGTTAAGCATTTACCTACCACTTTTGATGTTTCATCATCTTGATCCATGCTGTGTGCTAAAGTCAGCGTCTTGCATTGTTATTGTTGTTGTTTTCGTTGTCGTTGTGATCATTTTCCATATCAGATGCATTGTTTAACATAATAAAGTTCCATATTCTGAAGTCAATTTGAAGTAGTCAGTACCATTATCTGCATTCATTTTGTGAATGGGGTTCATAGAAAACCTATGAATCAACAATTCCTTTCCTTCTCAAAGTACTAATCCATTTTGTTGTAAGCTGTAGTTGATGGGTATTTTAGTTTAAAATTTTTATTATGGAAATTCTATTCTTGTTGGATTAATTTGCCTTATATTTTGCTACTTTAATTTGTTCCCAGTATTCTGAGAGACATTTAGTTTCCCCATCCTCTTGCTCCTCTCCCAAAGTACTTTTATCTGAAGTTCATTCCCTCTACAAACTTTCAGCTTGAGCAAGAAATTTTGAACTTCTCTGAAGGACTAAGAGTTATTGGATTGAAACCAGAGGAAAAGATTGCCCTTTTTGCTGATAATTCATGCCGGTGGCTTGTCTCAGATCAAGGTATGCAGCCATTCACCTTAACCTAAACTTGGTGCCTTAAAAAAAGAAGTGTACTAAATTTAAAAGATGCAGTCTGCATCCTTCCCTCGGCCTACAGACTCTGTCAGTTAGCCCCTTGCTCAAGCTTTTATTGAACTCTAACTCCCTAAACTAGCAAACAAAGGCTCTTTTGGATCTAACTTTCTTTCTATCTCACACAACAAGCAAATAGGTACCAGTGGTTCATTCTTGTATTACCAAGAAATGCATTCAAAACTAAGATTATGGATAAGGAGCAGCCAATTGCTCTGGAAACTAATGGAAAGTATAATGGTTCTCCTAACATTCTACATCGGACTTCTATCCCATTGGAAGAGCTTTTCTTTGCCTGCAAATTTGTAGATCACAAACTTCGAGACTATGTTCCATTCCACCACAATACCAGGTCATGCTTTAATTTTTCCAATTTTATGTTGTTACCGTCATTTCTCTAAGTAGACCCAATGCAAATCTACAAGTTGCACAAATTCTTGTGCATCCAGTTGGATTGCAAAATATATCCTGCTTTTATCTATTTTATCCTTTTCTTGGTCTGCATCCACACAGTTCGCTCAATTGGGTTCAGACAGTATTTTCATTGCTCATCTTTCCACCTCTAGAAATGTGTTGATGTAGGATAATTGTTTTCTTGCTAGTTAGCAAATAAGATTGCTCAAGACTTGGGGATAGTAGTTCTGAAGTCATTTGGGCAAATGCTGTTTGTGGGGTCCCTCTCCTAAGTTATTACACTGCCATTAGTAACTCTAGCAAAATGTGGGAAAAACTTGTGCGATATTTGAGATGCTCTTCTGGAAATCACTCTTGAAGATTAGATTCTGTTTCCTTTAGAGACTGGAGTTGAAATGTTCAATCTGTGTACAACATGCATTTTTGAATTCTTGAACGACTTCTTAAATGTGTCAATCTGACCTCAGGTATTATGGCAACTGGAGCAATCAATGTTGTGAGAGGTTCGAGGTCATCTGTTGAAGAGCTTTTGCAGATATACAATCACTCTGAAAGGTTAGAGGAGATGTTTCCTTTCAGACTTATGCTCTCTTCTTATTCCAACTGGATTTATGTTGATAGGTAGACATATATGTACTCTTTTTAGCATGATCTGTCATAGATTGCGATGAGTGTAGTGCATGTGATCATACTATCATTTTCCGTTATGTTAATGGAAGTTTCTGTAGTTTTTTCCCTTATCAAATTTCTAACTGTAGTTGGTTCATCTGCGGATTGAAGTTCTTTTCCAATACTAGGTGCTGTAAAAATATTCATTGTTGCATTTTCACGCTTTAACTGCTGCTCTGGGATTGAGGCTAATTTAAGCTGCATTCTTAGTTAATTGGTTTGTTGGTACAATACTGCAGATTTCTTTGTGTACTCTTATTTTCTTACATAGGTTGCATAATTCATGAATATTTAGGAACTCTGTAACAATTATATTTAATTTTTCAATTTCTCTTTCTTATTTGTGAGTGGAATTTATGAAGTGAAGAACTACAAGGGTTTTTCCAAGTAAAAAGAATGAGGTTCTATTGTCTTTCACTGATGTTTTGAGGAAAATGGATGCCATTAAACAATTGCTTTGCAGATGACTAGATGCCAGTCATAAATGAATCATCTATTATACTTTTTTTAGTCTGCTTCTGTTTAAAATGCTTATGATACCATGCTTGGATTAAAATAGTTTTTCAAAAGAAATACAAAGTCTCATGGACCACCCCTTGTCATTAAAGTTTTAATTGTTGAAAGGAGGTTGGTTTTGACCTTCTAATGGTGTTGAAGATGTTATAAAATATTTTATTAGATTGTGAAATTGGAATCTTTTTATTGAATGAGATATATTATGAATTTTGGTATTAGTTTGTGTGCAGGCAAGTTTACAGTATAAATTAGTTTTTCACTGAAAGTTGTTGCACGAAGTTCATATTTTTTAAGACGCCACAAGACGTTGATAAAACAGTATCTTTAGTTCTATATATACCTAAAGCCACTGTGAGGAAAGAAATTATTATAGATCCTATTGTATCATTTGAGCATCCAAACAATTGATGTAATGTGAAAGAAAGATAAATTGAGCCCATGGTTTTGTGAAGGTTGGTCAACATTAGGTGTCCAAGTTCTTGCATCAACTTCTTTTAGTAAAGAAATTATGTGCTTAGTGTTTTAGCATCATTATCTACTATCTACAGGTGAAGGACTTCATAGATTACATTCCTGACTCTTCAATACTAAAATGCTTGATGGAAAGGATTCTAGGGCATAGAAAATGTGATATCACCAAAATAATCTACTATTTTACACAATTAGTAAACAAGAAACAAATCATGTTCAAAAAGTACTTAGAGACACTTTTTGTTGAGCATTCAGTGCAGCATCAAAACTATGCTGGACATATACAGGCAACAGAAATAACTGTAGGGAAATGGTACTTTCCTTCTTGAGGTTATGTGACAAGTGCAAATGTGCTGGTTTGGAAATTACTGATTAGCCAGTTCTTGTTTGTTGGTGGAACAGATGGTAAAATCCCACGTTTTATCATTAAAAATCAGCACTAGCAGAAAGGATTTACTTTCATTCTCTTGCTTGTTAATTTTAATTTCCCCTGGTTCTCCCTCATCTTATGCTTTTACCAACTTTATTTCCTCCAATTGCTCCTGCTTACCCACCAACTAAAATTGCTTCTTTGGTTCTTCCACCATCAAAATGCTGCATTCTGTCTCCCCTGTTGACGAGATAAGATGAGATTTTCTGATTGATACAGATTATGAACAGAAAATTATAATACCACAAGATAGGGAAATTAGTATGCAATGCCTTCTTAGAATTATTTGGTTCCTGCAATTTTTTAGCTATGTTGATATCTCGTAAAAAATTTGGTCGTTTTAATTTACAGTTGTGAATTTATTTTTGAAATTGCTATCTGTCAATATCAACGTATTGTTTTTTGAAGCGCTATATCGAGTTAATTAAAACACTTCCGTTCTGCATTAGTAATGAGAACAACAGCAACAAGAATGGAGAGGTATACTTAACTAATCTTCTTTAAAATATATATAATACGACTAGATATGCAGAAAAATGGCGTCATTGTATGAAATGGTTTGGGATGTGCTGCCGTACAATACTAGATATAAATGCAAAATGTTCTGATCAAATTATCTGAGATTTCAATGCTTCCCCACCCCTCTATGGGGACAACATTTTATTTGATTCCTGCTGTGTCTTAGGCAGTGATTCATCCTTTCCACCATAGATGAAAACTCTCTATACCTGTGGATACATAATGCCCGTTTTTGGTTGCATATCTTGGAAGGTGGTGAATCTTTGAGAAAAATCATTTCCGTTGTTCCTTGAATTTCAGAATGTAAATGTTTTACTGCTATAACCGCAGTGTGGCACTGGTCGTGGACGATCCAGTTTTGTACAACCGCATTTTGGAAACCTTTCATTCCCGAGCCACTATAAAATTTGTCATTTTGCTATGGGGACAAAAATCAAGCATAAGAGATGTAGCAGCAGCAGAAATTCCTGTTTATAGCTATGATGAGATAACAAGTTTGGGTCGTGAGAGTCATACGGCCTTGCTTCTTTCTGAAGATGCCAGTAAGTTGCTCTGCTGTCATTGTTCAGTAGCGTTAATAAGTGATTGCTGCTGCAGCAAAATTTTTATTGCCTAATGCTTGATTGTCTGATGTGAATATAATATTTTTGGATGCATATATTAAGATGTATATTTAATCGCACTTGATTTGAACAGAAAAAGAATCGATCCTTTTAAGAGCATTGTAACTTATTTTATTATTTAGTCATGTTATGCCCTTCTATGTAGTCTTATGATGCACCGACATAAACACGTGTGTCCGATACGTTACATATTGGATACACCGATATGCGATTTTTTAAAGAAAGTACTGATACGATACGTCGTCGACACTTCATTCATTTATATAGTATAAATTTATTTTTATACTTCTTATTAATTTTTCTAGTTGAAATATTTTAAATATGAGTATATATTTGTTATTTACTAATAGTTTTGAATTGAAAATATATACTATTTTAATAAAAAAGAAAAATGATCATCATACAGTGTTCGAGGAGTGTCGGTGCTACAGGGATGTATTATATATGCTATGTTTAACAGGGAAGAGGCGTTAGTGGCACCTCTAACAAATTTTAATGTCAGAAGCTATAGGACTGGGTTTATTCTTTATAGTACCTTAGTAAATATTAGATTACCATATATTTTTAAACTTGCACAAAGTAATTCCTCGGTTGCTTTTGTTTTCTTTTTTTGCCCTTTTTTTTGGGTTTGTTTTGGGGCCCATATCTACTTTGTTTAACATTTATTTTGTCATGTCAAACTTTTTGAAGAGATTGGCTTTCGTGTGAGGGAGAGAAGAAGATGAAGATGAGAAAAGAATCCATCCGATTGTGTTCATAGCCGAGTATTTTGGTGTTTGGGTGAGGTTGGTTTGGTATGGTTAACTAGTTATTCCATGAGATATTAAAGTCTAAAACAATGTGAGACAAATGAAAGAAGAGTATTTGATTAAATACTAGTTGCAATGGATATGTCTAAAGGTATTTGATTAAATAAAACCAAGTCAGAGGCGTTATTGTATGACTGTTAATGGGGAATGACTTGACGAGGATGTTATGCATTGGAAACAATGACTACTTAGGTGGTTGAGATATGTTTGGCAGCCAACCCCAAAATTATTGGGAATAACACTTAATTTTTGCTGGTGCCTGCATTTTGTTTTGTGTGATGAGCTTCTGATATATAAGATTGTGATATTGAATCATTGATGATCCGATGAGAGCTCAGTAGAAGGTTTCATTATTGCTTTAGTTGTACAGATACAAATTACAAACATGATTTTCAGTATCATAGTGTTAATAACATTACCATTATGCTGGTTTCTCAGATGTTGTCTGAGATTCTATGAGAAACTTTTCTATTGTAATTTTTATGGTTTGAATGAAATATCAGAAGAATCATAAGCATGATTAGCATGGGCCATAAGCAAACAAGTAATTTTTTTGGTGGTAAGCAAATCATATCAAATTTTCTGATGTTACCAATGCATAACGTTAAATTGAACTTTTTATGATGCAATGCCATAAGATATACTATCTATTCAAAGTTAGTCGAATCGCAATTTTGTCCTAGCTCAGAAAATAACAGCCATAACTGATTCTTTTTAACAGTTGGCAGTCGTAAATAGAATCCTGTAGCTGAATTTACTGGTATGTATATTCAGAATAGACCTTACGATGTTGATTTGAGTCTATGAAGAGATTTTATATAATGAAGCAAATTCAAATATTTTAAAAAGGTCATAATTCAAGCAGATGCATACTAATTGAGTGCCTTTGGAGGGGTTGACTGATATGTTAAGTTTTATTAACAATGTGGGTAGCCTCTTATAACAATCAATGACCTTGTGAATACAGTTAATGGTTCATTGCTTTGCTGATAGATGATTTCTGAGTTTTAAAACTTTTAACACTTGTAATACTGGAATTATAGTTACAAGTTCTTTTGATATTTATAAACAATTTCTCTTTTAGTTCCATTTGATGTAATGAGGCTGATCATATTTGATTTGCAAATATTTTGCGCAAATAATATTTCTGTCAATGTTTACTTTGAATTAATGATACTGTGATAACAGTTAACTTATCATCTTACTAGTGACGAACAATTTATCGAAAGGATGAAAACATAATCCACATTGGGAATGACATTGCTGACTAGTTACAATAATTTCAGGGAAGCAATATATTTATGAATCTATTGGATCTGGAGACATTGCTACGCTTGTATATACAAGTGGCACCACTGGGAATCCTAAAGGTGTTATGCTCACACACAAGAATCTGCTGCACCAGGTTGACCGTTTATTCTTTTCTATTTTTTTGGATAGGTTAAGAAATTTCTATTTCTATTTTTTATTTTTTCTGAGAAATGGAGTTGGGGGTTCTGCTAGAATAATGAAGGTAGCTTTGCCTGTTGGAATTTCCTCTTCATTTGGATCTTTTAATGTAATGTTCTCTGTCTTTTGAGAGGTATTCTTTAAATTTCCTCTGGCATCGAAGAGAAGCATGTAGTTCTTTGCTGAGAAGAACTTGAGCTATACTTGTGATTTGTTGATTATGACCATATGTGTGTGTGATGTTGCCTGTTTTATCTTTTAGCAAATAAATTTCTTTGTATCTAAATATACTGCCCGTCCCATCGAAATCTGTTGCGTAAGTTATCTGGTTGTTTTTAAAGACCCATGTATATGCTTCTATCTTAGATTACAAATCTATGGGACATTGTACCTGCTGTGCCTGGGGACAGATTTCTAAGCCTGCTTCCACCTTGGCATGCATATGAAAGAGCTTGTGAGTATTTCATATTTACCCATGGAGTCGAGCAAGTGTACACAACAATGAAAAATCTAAAGGTGCATTATTTCCCTTCCTATTTGGTGTTGTTATATTTTTGTCCCTTTACTTCTGTAATTATGATTTCACTAAAAGAAAATGTTTGTAGAAATGATTAATTGTTGTCTAGTTGTGAGGGTAAATGGTCTCTTCAATTGCAGGAAGATTTGCAGAGTTATCAACCTCATTATCTGATTTCTGTTCCATTAGTCTATGAGACACTTTACAGGTGAATCTGACTGCCTTAAAGTATTACTTTCATCATGCACTGTAACTCATTAAATATATCATATGTCTATGGGACAAGCAAGAATTGTATATCATGTAGTTGGAAGTTGTGGAAGGGGGTTATTAGAGTAAGAAGAGGAACTATTGAAGAGTAAGTATTGGATTCATGACCTGAAGTTATCTCCAAAAGACGTAGGAGTGGCATTGCTGTTCTTTATTTTATGCATTCACCTCATATTTCAATTTTTGGTTTTTTGAGTTTTTGTTCCTTTTATCTTTATTTTGTTGTTGCTGATTATGAAGGATTCTAATATGCTTTGTGTATATGTTCATGTCGATGGTTTACACTATTGTCTTTCAGTGCTGAATGTGTTTATGTTATTTCGATTCTCAATTATAACACTGAAGCCACTGACAGATCCCATATTTACCTTTACTGCTTGATGAATTTCATTACTGTTTATAGATCACTAACACTGGTTTATTTTGCAGAGGGATTCAGAAGCAATTTACTACGAGTTCTGCTGTTCGTAAACTAGTTGCTCTTCTATTCTTGCGGATCAGTTTAGCGTACATGGAGGCCAAACGAATTTATGAGGTTGAATCATAATCATGTTTTTTATTTTTCCGAAATTTGTTTTAACAGTTTGGCTGTTCAGAGCCCATTATAATTAGAATCACTGTACTGATAATTATATTCATGTTGTTTCCGTTTCATAGTATAAGATAATATGCTGTTTTGACAGAATATTACTTCTTCTTACTTTGATTATGTGTATTTATTGAAGATTCATGTAGTTTGGTAGTCTTTCTCTAAACAAATAGTAGCCAAAGATCTCTTTAGCTCTCACTCTGTCTTGTCATAAAGCGTACTTTGATGTTCTTTTGGCTTGAACGTTAGACAAGGATATGCTCTAACATGATAGTGGAACTGGTTTTTGAAACTTTGGATGATACAATTCTCGACACCTATTGAGATATAGATACCGGATTTCGGCAAGATAGTTACAGATGCTAAAGGTGAGGTAGGGTAACAAGCAAAAAAGCCCCTCTTCTTTTTCTAAGGTAGATTGATTGTCTCCTCTGTTTTTGTAAAGCTACGTTTCAAATAGGAGCAATTACTCCCTTGTAGCTGATTAACGTCGTACATAAGGCAATACTTTGACCTTTGCAAGTATGAATGGATTTTTCTTTTGTCATAAAAGAGGGTGTTGACGAACTATTCTAAATGGCGCTTAACGCCTTCCAACCAGGTGAAAATGTTGAGAGATTCTTATCTCTGTCTATTATACGCATTGATCTTCCTCACTTTTGTGCTGCACCATGTTTCGCTGTATTGACACGTGAAACAGTGAAGATTACTTGCAGCTTTTTAAAAATTTCTTGTTTTCTATATGGTTGGTTTGTCTACTCAGTATATTTGAACTACTTAAAGGTGATTTGCTGAGTTTTTTAAAGGTGGTTTTAAGAAGGCAGGATCATTAATCTGCGAACAGCGGTGAGCAAATAGTCACTCTAGGAAAATACTCAGGGTTGCATCATTTAAATTGCTTTACAAGACACTGATCTATGCTCTAAGAAACCTAAATTTACAGCAAGTAATCATAGTAAAGGATACTGGGACAGCAGTAAATTGTTAGTAGCCAACAGAATTTGTAAATCCAGTGGTACCGTCATGGAGTTAATGTGAGAATGAGGAAGACAAGGAGAGTGGCTATAGTGGACCCAAGGGGTTTGATCCATTTGGTGGTGACCTACAGTAAAACTGTGAAAAGAAAGAGAAAAAATAAGAAAGGAAGAGAAGCAAGCAACACAGGAATGAAATTCGGTTTGGATCATGTCCCATGGACCACTCAAAATGTAACAGATAGATAATTAAGTTTTAAAAGTGTAAGTTGGATTTGACCCAAGGCCATCTCCCAAATATCTCCGTACAATAAATACCACTTAGAGAACTTGCACTTTTCAAGATTATCAGGATTTCATGATTAATTTTGATTAACTGGTTTATTTAACGCTGCATTCCCATTTTTATATTTTACACTTAATGAATAAGATTGTTCTTTTTTCTTAGGGGAAATGCCTTACAAAAAATCTGCAACAACCTTCCTTCCTTGTTTATCTTTTGGAATGGTTGTGGGCAAGGATTTCTGCTGCGATATTGTGGCCATTGCATATGTTAGCAAAGAAAATTGTCTACAGTAAAATTCATTCTGCTATTGGTATTTCAAAGGTTCGGCAATTCTTTTTCTTATTGCATGTGTATCCATGTTCAGTTTTCTGATTTATTCTAGGAAGTTCTTACAATGATTAGGTACTTCTTTTTTTATTGTATGCGTATTCATGTTCAGTTTTCCGATTTATTTTTGGAAGTTCTCAAAATTATTAGGTACAAATGACTAATGTAAAACTTTTTTTGACGTTTTGCAGGCTGGCGTGAGTGGAGGTGGTAGCTTGCCTTCACATGTGGACAAATTCTTTGAGGTAAGAGCTTATTCATTCTTTGTTAGTTATGTCAGGAATGTGTCTAATTATTCCTTGTAATATTGATCCGATACTGCAGGCAATTGAAATAAAAGTTCAGAATGGATATGGTTTAACAGAATCCTCACCTGTGGTTGCTGCTCGACGACCAAATTGTAATGTAATAATCATATTTGATGACCTTAAAGTTAATGAACTGCTGCATTTTTTCTTCTTCCCATGATGAGTTCTGAATCAATAAATTTCGTGTATTTGTTCCATTAAAGCAATGAATTTCTATTCAAGAAAGACTATAAAAGGAGTATCTGATTTGAAGACCTTGATTTGAAATACTTAGCAGTCTTGTGTGCATAGTTTAAACATCCTTGGGCAATGGAGAAAATATTGGGTGGGAACTTGTTACCATCTTACTAGAATCATATAATTTGCATAGTTTAAGGCATTCTATTAATTAGTCTCTAGAAAATTTAAAATCAACTTTGTGCAAGCTTCTCTAAATCTACTTTGTTCTTAGGGATAAAATATTATTGAATGTTTTTTACTATGACTTTCCTTTTGAACTTCTCTGCCATTGAATCTTCAAAGTTGATATTTTGGGTATTTATGTTTAGATCTAGAACCATTTGTTAGATTAGTTTCTGCACTATCGATTGCATGACAAACAATCCAAATTTATACCAAATAAGTAATGCCTTTTCTGCTGTTAAAAGTAGAAAAGAAACAACAAAGTTCTGACAAAGGAACTCTTTTAAAGAAATTCTGTGTACTTCTGTTGCAATAAAATCAACTCATTCGAACTGGAAAAATCTTTAGAAATCCACTGGCCAAGTTGGCAGACTTTCCAACAATCATGCCCATGCTGAGGGGAAGGTATTTTTCATCCCTAGCCTGCTTTGGTTAGTTTGAAATGACCCAGTAGAAACCGCTATCTTAGAATATCAGCTAGTTCGCCCTTGATAGGAATATGATTGAGTACACATGAAATTTAGGCTGGATATGGTATTAATAATGGACAATCAACTCTATTAATAATAGTACATTCCAATATTAGGAAACGTAATCCTACCACCATGTTAGTTCCTAGTTAACTAGAACATGAAAGTAAATAGAAAATAAGTTAAAATAGATTTCCTATTTATAATTGGATTTTTATTCCAACTCAAATCAGTCCATTCTCAATTTATTCTTTTATAAACTGTTGGCACACTTCCATGTGCTTTACATTGTTCATTTTGATTGGATCTTGTGCAAAATTCGTTCCTAACTTGTCTCAACAAAGTTTCATAATTTTTTTACACTGGATTCCAAGGTCACTCATCCAAAGCCACTCACAGATTCCATGTCTATTAACCCACACATTTCTGTGCTGGACTTTCCCATCACTGATACTGATTGCTTCTGAAAAAGTGTAATACCCTGATGTTGATCTTAGATCAGATAATGACTTAACCCAGAAACATTCATGCAGGCTTCTAGGATTAATTATCTCTTCTTCTTCATACAACAAAGTGCTTTTCTTTCCCTCAACATTGAAGGTGGTTCTATTAAGAGTCTATCCTTTAGAAGATCCAGAATACATTTCTGTTGTGATTCTACTATTCTTCAACTAAAGTGTGCAACTTCAGTCCAAGCTAAGTCATGCCAAAACTATGTCATCTACCAATGGTTAGAAATTGATGGAATGCATTAGGGAGAAAAGGCTTCCTAACAGAATTTCCCACCATGGAGTATAACCTCATGACTTGATGGTGGCCAGTATCTATAATTGTCGTGTGAAAACAACTGTGCTTGTATGGATTTCCGAAACATGGAAATCGATCTTATGATCAATCCACAGAAATCGATCTAAGCTGATCAATCCACCTCTTTGACTAAGTTCTTGTCAGTTTCAACTCTTAATATTCTGAATGCATTTCTACAGTAACTTCTTTCTATTATATTATGTTACTTGACAGTGTCATAACTTATCATTTGAAGGTTCTTGGCTCAATTGGGCATCCTATTAAACATACAGAGATAAAGGTTGTAGATGCAGAAACAGACAAAGTTCTTCCTTTTGGTTTAAAGGGCATTGTTAAAGTTAGGGGTCCACAAGTCATGAAGGGTTACTACAAGGTAACATTTGAAAGCTCTTCTTGTCACAGAACTTCAGTATTTATGTAACTAGATCTTTTAGATCCATGAACATAAGTAACATGTTCTTGTTATTTGTCATTGTTATTGTTTTTATTTAAATTTCTAATTTAGACTTGGTCATCCTGCCCTTCTTTTATAATGCTTTGTCACCTTTCTGCATGGCTAGTTGCAACATTTGTATCAAGTGTATGAATCTTGTGATCTCTCTACCATATCATTCTCAGAGTTGTTTCTTGGTTTAATTAGTCGCACTAATATGAAAGATTGTGCTATTTTGTTAAGGAATAAAATTTCACGTCGAATAAAGATGAAAATATATGCCAACTTATAAGGGATTGAGTTACTTCTCTTAATAAGTTTGGCCTTTTAAGATAGAGCTCCGAATTTTAACATGGTATTGGAGGCCATTAAGCTCTAACGAGCAATTTGATTCGATTAAGACTAAAAAAATGAGCATATGAATTTCAAGATTGATCTACTCAAATGATCTACCATCTTGCAGGGACATATTAAGGGATACAATTTCACATCGAATAAAGATAAAAATATAGATTAACTTATAAGGAATTGGGTTACTCCTCTTAATAAAATTGACCTTTTAAGATAAAGCCACAAATCTTATCACATTCATATTAATTATCAATTACACTTTGTCAAAGGCTTTAATCAAATGAATGAGCGTCACTCTCTAATAGCTTGAGCTCTTGGGATGAGGTGATTTGAATTGGTATCTAATCTGGCGCAGGTTCTGGCTTTAAGTCTCATCGCCACCCATTTGTGAAAATTATGCACATGTTTGATGTGATGGTCATGTGAAAGGCATTTAAATAAATAAAATTTGTCTCCCTCTTTAATAGACAAGGTGGTTCAACAAATTCTAGGACAAGATGAAGACATTTAAATTTCTGAACTTGTGACAATGTAGCTTGGTTTTCATGCGCAAACCAACATTTCCCTGATCTGCTGTTAAATGGAAGATGGGAATTGGAGGCGTGGACTACATTTCACTGTCATTGGATTTATCTTCCATAGCACTGCTAAAAGATTGCTTACTTTTTGAAGTTGTGAATTGGTTGCTAGGCTTTCATGCCGAAAATTAACCTTTCTCTGATCTGCTGTTAAATGGAAGATGTGAAGTGTTTTAACATTTCGCTATCATTGGATAAATTTTTCCATATCGCTACCAAGTGATTGGTGTTTTTGTATCAGTTTGATTTGCGAATATTTATGCATCTTCATTTCCTAGTCAGTAGATTTATTGAATATTTATTTGTTCAGCCACTTCAACCCGCATAAAACCTCGCACGTGCTTGTATGTGTAGATGTGTGATTTTATATTTGAATATCTTCATTAGAAGCTTCAAATTAAAAGCTGCATTAATAATTTAATATTATGTCCACGCTACATAGAATAATTTTCACAAGACTTGACAAAGTATCCATTTTTTTTTTCTTGGCTTCAAATTCCTGCAGAATAATTCGATAACGTTAATATTCTACTGATTTCACTATTGATGTCCATCTTATCTACTTAGTAGTGTCTTTCTAGATGAGTGTTTGCAGTTGTTTCGGTCTTCAATATACTTAATAACTTATATTTGCTCTATGTAGCTGATGTTTACAATTTCTATTCTCGTCTTCCACCTTGTAACCTGAAAAATAGATATTGCTCACACTGCCATGCACACCTGCTGTATAACTTACCAGAAATAACGGCAACAACGTTGACCATGTAACATATGCACCTGATAGTTGTCTTCAATGTGGTCCTCAATTTTATTTAAATGTATAAATTTTAGATATTCTTGTTAGTCCCGAGTAACTCAGTGACTTGAATCATATCATGTAATGTTCTTTAACAAATATATTGCAGGTCTTTAAAATGGTCTATATGGTGTTGAGCATTCAATACATATGTATGAAAGCTACTAGTGATAAATTATGTTCATTATCTTCTATATCAAAGTTATTTACCTTCTCTTTTGAAAATGATAAACTAGAATCCACTCGCAACCAAACAAGTATTAGATGAGAATGGCTGGCTGGATACGGGTGATATTGGCTGGATTTGTCCTCATCATTCTGTTGGACGAAGTTGTGCTGCTGCAGGTGTTATTGTTCTTGAAGGACGCGCAAAGGACACTATAGTCCTTTCAACAGGTAAATTAGAATGTTTATTACAGTACACATGTTTTTCTCTCTGTTGGCATAGTACTAATATGAATTAGGTAAAACAAATAAAAGGTGCATCTTTGACATAGTTCAATAAATCTAAATTCGCTAGAATGTGTTCTCAGGTAGAACAGAGCTGATTAATCTTCTATTACATGAGTTGGATATTACGAAAGACTCCGTAACCGTCGGATTTTCCTATAGTATCTGAACTTATTTATTACTTCCATCAAAATTATTTCAAGTAGCAAAATAAACAATTCCTGAAATTTTTGAAACTAATTTCATATTTATTTGGTATGACATAATTAGATAATGGATCCCCTGTTCCTTCATAGTTGTATGCTGCAGCCATTTGTTTGACTAGATAAATTTTTTAAGGCATCGATATAGTAATAATCTCCTCTATTTCTCAAAGACCTTACTCATTTCTAGGTCTGGGCATGGTTCGGGTTGGGTTGGTTATGAGTCCAACCCCAACCCGAAACCGACTTGATCGGTTTGGATAAATTTCTATCCAAACTGACCCAATCCAGTCTTTGAAACCGAACCAAATCGGGTTGGTTTGGTTAATCGGTTTGGAATTTGTGCAAGCAAAAAAAGAAAAAAAAAAGTTGTATACCTATATTGAGTTAAAACATTTGTTTTTTATACATATAATTTTTTTCTTACATGGAGCATATCAATAATATATATTATATAAATTGTAAATAATCAATTTTTCCAAAATCATCGTATATATAAATTTGATAGTTACCAACAAACAATTACACCAAAATGAAAACAAGGCTACAATCTAAATTCGAAGTTTATACCAAATGATTATTCTTCTTACTTTCTTTTCTTTTGATAATTAGAGTTTTGATAGAAAAAATATGGACGTTAAACAAATTATTTGAGATAACATTATATTTTTGTTTTTATTATTTTGTTTTTTACGTTTAAAAAGATATATTTTAAAATAAAAAAAAATAAAAAAAGATATTTGCAGGTTGGATCAGTCAATTAATGGGTTGGTTGCTTAAACCGAAACCAACCCACCAGACTTTTTAATGGTTAAAATTAACCGAACTAAACCAATTTTTTGGTTCTAACCAACCCAAACTGACCCGACTCGGTTTAGTTTGATCGGTTTTTCGATTTTCTTTTACCCACCCATACTCAGTTCATTAAACGTGAACATCATGTCACTAACTGTTCAATGAGGTGAAATAGGTGAAAATGTTGAGCCTGCAGAGATAGAAGAAGCTGCCCTGAGAAGTAGTCTTATTCAGCAGATTGTAGTCATTGGCCAGGTGAAATTTTAATTTATTTCAATTAGGCATGCCGACTTCTGTTTCCTTACAATAGCTCACCAATTGCCATATATGTGATAAAGCACATGATACTTCCAAAACTTGTGTTACATTGCATCGAATTTGCAGGATCAACGACGTCTTGCAGCTATAATTGTCCCAAACAAGGAAGAGATTTTGTCAGAAGCTAAAAGGTTGTCTAAAGTAGAATCTGATGCCTCTGAAGTTAGTAAGGAAATATCGACTAGCCTATTGCATGAAGAGTTGAGAAAATGGTAAGACGCACATTCGAGAAATTCATAGCATTTACAAAATCTTGAGACATTAGCATCAGTGAAGCGATATAAAGGTCTTTACTTTAGCAAACTTATACTGAAATATTCCTTAATATTTGGTTTAAGGAAAACGACCTCTTTTCGCGTAGGACAACTGTTTAAAACATAAGTTGATAACAATCACAACACTGAGTGCAAAGCCTTTTGCTGCTTATATAAGATTTTATGCGTAGAAAGCTATAATCTTTTTGTCCTTCACTTGAATTTGATGTATTGTGTTTTGCTTTACTCACTTTGCTTGAAGAACGATGATCATTGCAGACAATTTCATGTAAACGTCAAAAATAAATTTAGTTGCACTAAAAAGAACGTTGCAACACGCAATCAACGGATCACACGTATGGTGTAGTTAAGCTATAGTGTCAAACAATTTGAAGATTCTAAATCTTGTCTGTTGAAGCTTAACAGAACTGATCTCTTGGAAGTTTTGAATCCTCTACACAAAAATTTGGAAATTAGAATTTCAGGATAGAGCGTAAATTCAACTGACCTAATATCTCACTTTCTTGTTTCTCTTTGCCTTTTCTTCGAATGCAGGACTTCAGAGTGCTCATTTCAAGTTGGACCAATTCTCGTGGTGAACGAGCCTTTCATGGTAAATTTCTGTTTCAAGAGTGTAAAATGGTTTTTACGGAATCTATTTTAATAATAGTATCTTCTTAACAACTGTGGTATCAAATTGCAGATTGATAGTGGCTTAATGACTCCAACCATGAAAATCAGAAGAGACAAGGTTGTATCTCAATTCAAAGAGGAAATAGACAGTTTATACAAGTGAAGCCTAATATAGTCTCATTGAACTAGTAAATGTGCAAATATGGCTGGTCAATCGCTTACACAATCTCTGTAATTTACAATACATTCTTTTTTCCTTCGCTAAATTTCAATATTCACTATTGTAATAATATAGATACAGTGTTGGGCTATAAATTTATTATATATACCACATTGTTCTAATGTAAACACATCAGTCTACTTCTTGGAAGAGATGATGCTTGTAGGAAACTATCATTCTTCACAAAGGCAATCAGTAGCAGCAGCTAGATAGTGACATGGACTGTGGCGACATCAACATGGGGGAAAAGAACGAAGAGGGACGGGTTCTTTTTTCTTTTGGCATAGAAAGCCCCCGGTGGCAGACTCTCGTGTTAGGCTATTTGATAATTGTGTCAAACTTATGCCAACGTAGGATGCATTGTTGAAAAAACTATAGCTGGACATCATTCTCCCTAAGATAATAGAATACGTGACTTCCAACGCTAAAGCCAATTGAAGTAGTGAGAGACAATCACATTTTTTAAAAGTTATAGCGGATAGGAGAGGTCCAATAGTACCTTTTAACGCTTCAGATCAAGTTCAAGAATCTACCTCAAGTAGCAATCGTTTGGCATAGCTCCAGGGCGGAGCCAGAAAATGATTTTAGGATTGGTTGAAATTTTAAAAAACTTTGAATGAACTTACGCCACAAGAATTGAGTTTTGGAGGCTATTTTTGTGATATTCAAGATAAAAAGTATACGACACTTAATGAAATTAAAAAAAAAAAAAAAGTTTAGATGTCTCACATTAAGATATTCCACAAAATTTTTGTATTTTTTACCAAATAAAAAATCGATGCTTATCTTAAAAAATATAAACTAATTGAATCACGATAGAATTAAGCAAAAATACATATCCACCAATGAACATTTAAAAAAGTACTTAATGAGTACTCTTCTAGTAACTTTGACAATTCATCTTTTCAAACAACTGAAAGTTTTAATAAATATTCTTTTTTATTGTCGATATAGATTACTTTATAAATAAAAAAGTTTTAACACATTCTTTTTATTGTCAATATCAAATCTATAGTAAATTTTTTATTTACATCATAATATCTACTTTATGGTCAAAATAAGATTTTTTTTTTTAAATATGAATTAGTAATGAATGAAAACATACGTAATTTAGAAAAAAGACATAGTGTCTCTAACTATTAGAATAAGTAGTTTACTTTTACATCTAATCAATACAAATTATTTGTAAAAGAATGTACTTAATAATTATAAGTAAATTTTAGTCAAACATTTATTAAATAGAATATCTAATTTGACAATAAAATATTCACATTTAATGAATGTCTTGAAAAGAGTAATTAATAATTGTAGTGTCTTTAATACAATTTGTATAATGGAACATTGGACTTGAATTGAGATTTAAATTAAAGCTGAACTAATGCTAACATCTAAGCCATAATTTTAAAATCTTTGCTTAAAATATAATATGGGCAGGCGAGCATTTAATATGAGATGGGGAGCATTAAAATAATTTGGGCTGGGAAGCATTAAAGTAATTTGGGCTGGGGAGCAAATAGTATGGGCTGGGAGGCATTGCTGGGCTGTAGGTTTGCCCATCTTCAATGATGTTTAACATGACTACTCTTCCAATAGTTTTCAATGTTTTAATATTTAAGGTACTCTGTGTAGGCATGGCCAATATCCTTTACCGATGCTTAGGGTTGTTATGCATTATTTGGCCTTCATTTTGTGTCGTGTAGATTCTCTAGGATTTATTTCCTCACTTTTCAAGCTGTGGCCCAGGTTGATGTAACAGAGGTCATTGACACAAATGGAACTAATTTGAGTCCCAAAATGACTAACCATATTTTTCGTACCAATTGCACTTGACGTACAGAATTGGCTTCGCATCGGTTATAAAGGGCGCAGATAGTGGAAGGGGTGGGTGGGTATTTTTTTGTAATATTTTACTCATGTGTGCTCCATGTAAGTAATCTGAAATTTTTCTGTCATTATTCTGTACACAGAATAATTGTTTTCGTAGTTTTCATATTTCCAAAATTTTTATGGGTGTCAAGATGAATGTTTCTCTATTTGATACGATACAACTACTAAAATTTATTTAAGCACGGATGACAACTTCACAATGTGTCACATACTATGACTCGTGATGAAAGAAGGCAAAAGGCAGTTTAGCGAAGCAAACTACTGTCCACGGGAGAAAAATAATTTCGTTGCGAGACTTGAAGAATCGGCACATGAAAAAAACAAGACATCTAGACATCCGTCGAGAATTTATAGTTGGGGTCGACTCTTTGATCCAAAAATAGAAGTGTTAATCTAGACAAAATAGAAGAAGTATAAATTCTGATTTCTCTATGCAAAAGCAAGGGACTGGAGAATTTATCTTGAGTTAGTAGCCTAATGGTCATGAATGCCTCACACTGGCCTTCTCCACCAACTTCAACAATGCGCCAAGCGCCACCTCCCGACCCAAGGCAAGAAACTCCATGCCCAAGTGATCAAATCCGGCCTAGACCACAATGGCCTCCTTTATCCCAACACCCTTATTGATATGTATGGAAAATGTGGCTATCAAAATGACGCCCTCCAGCTGTTCGACAAAATGCCCGAACGCGATTTGGCCTCATGGGCGTCAATTTTCACTGCCCACAACCAAGCCAGCCTTTTTCAGAACACCCTATCTCTGTTCTCCACCAAGTTTCTAATTGAAGGCTTCCAACCGGACCATTTTATCTTTGCAAGTCTCGTTAAGGCTTGTGCTAATTTGAGTGCCTTGAAACTAGGCCAGCAAGTGCATGCCCAGTTTATGGTGTCGCCGTTTTTGCATGATGACGTTGTAAAGTCGTCCCTGGTTTATCTTTATGCAAAATGTGGACTGCCTGATACTGCACATAAAGTTTTTAATTCCATCTTGTCAAAAAATGTGATTTCTTGGACTAGCTTGATATATGGCTATGCGCGGGCAGAGAGGAAGAGTGAGGCTATTGAGCTCTTACGCGGAATGCCGGGGAAAAATCTGTACTCTTGGACTGCTTTGATATCAGGGTTTGTGCAGAGTGGGCTTTTGGTTGATGCGATTAATCTTTTTATCGAGATGAGAAGAGTAGGAGTTTATATCGAGGATCCATTTATTCTTTCGAGTATGATTTGTGCTTCAGCTAGCTTAGCTATGTTGGATCTTGGGAAACAGGTTCACAGAGTAGTTATAGGTTTTGGTTATCAGTCTAGCTTGTTCATCAGTAATGCATTGATTGATATGTATGCCAAGTGTAGTGATGTATTAGCGGCAGAGAAGATTTTTTGTCATATGTCGAAGAGAGATGTAGTTTCTTGGACCTCTATAATAGTTGGAATGGCACAGCATGGGCAAGCTGATGAAGCATTGTCACTGTATGATGAGATGACTTCTGTTGGTTTGAAGCCAAATGAAGTGACATTTGTCGGGCTAATTTATGCCTGTAGTCATGTTGGCCTAGTGAACAAAGGTCGCCAACTTTTCAAATCTATGGTGGACGATTATGGATTGAACCCGTCTCTTCAGCATTATACGTGCTTGTTGGATCTTTATAGTAGATCAGGATACCTTGAAGAGGCTGAGAGCCTCCTTTACTCAATGCCGTTCAAGCCTGACGAAGCTGCATGGGCTGCTTTGTTGAGCTCTTCTAGGCGAGTTGGGAAAAGTGAAATGGGAGTTAGAATCGCAAATCATCTGCTGGAACTTGGACCAGAAGATCCATCATCATGTATATTGCTATCTAATACTTATGCTGGTGCTGGTATGTGGGAAAACGTATCGAAAGTCAGAAAATTTATGCTTGCCATGGAAGGGAGAAAGGAACCCGGTTACAGTTGTGTTAACTTGTCGAAGGAGAACCAAGTTTTCTATTCCGGGGAGACGTCACATCCTATGAAGGATGAAATCTTTGAACTTCTCAAGGAGTTGGATGCTGAGATGAGGAGAAGAGGATATGTACCAGACACTAGTTCAGTTTTGCACGACATGGGACAGCAAGAGAAGGAAAGACAACTCTTTTGGCATAGCGAGAGACTGGCTATTGCTTACGGGTTGCTTAAGTCTGTCCCTGGAACAACCATACGGATAGTTAAAAACCTGCGTGTTTGTGGAGACTGTCATGTAGTTCTGAAGTTCATCTGTAGCATCATGAATCGGGAAATCGTTGTTAGAGATGCCAACAGATTCCATCATTTTAAAGGCGGTGTTTGCTCTTGTCGCGACTTCTGGTGATTGTGTGATTTGGAGAAGAAAATTAGATGTGAGTTAATTTTTTTTTTGAATGTCAGTGTTGATATGTGGACCATTAAAAGTTTTGAGGTAGTACATCAAAATATGTTCAAATTTGAGTACTTTAATTGTTACAATACATTAATTTCGAGTGCTGATGTCGCATCATAATTTATAAAGATTACATTCTAGCCATGCACGGGTCAATCAATAAACCGAACTTTTGAACCACAACCTGACCGTTTTAGAGTGGTGACTTTGAAAGACAGTATTCTCATAGGTTTAGTATCAAGTAGTGGCAGTACTCTAAAAGAGTAATCTCATCCTAAACTTGACGCCCTAAGTGAGTTTAGTGCATTTTTTTCAGGAAGAAGCACCTCTTTTGAACCTCACTTATCAATGCATTAGTCTTTTATAATAAACTGAGAGTCCAGTTAGTAGAGAAGAATCGTTGCAATCTTATATCACAGCTAACACTTTCTATAATAGTAAATCATATTCTAGTGTTTATAGGACTAGCGTTTTAAGGACTTGGATAACAATATTATAAAGGATTATAAATCCATCGAACAATCACGATCATTGAATCTACACATCTAACCTTCTTTGATCAGGTTATCGTCATAATATTTAGCTAAACACACAACAACAATATGGCCTATATTAGTTTTCCCGCAAAGCACACAACACCACTGGGAGAAGCCTTGAATTAGTGGCAGGCCTAGAGGCAACTATGGTTATCCAAGAGTGAGATGCTCCACATCCTGTGTCTTTCTAGATATTACCTGGACAGGTTTCTTCTCTTCCTGTTCATCGTAAGAGTTAAACCTAAACTCAGAGCTCGACTCTTCAGTATCAGAACATCCTGGTCTTTCAGTTAAAAATTGTTCCCAGAATACATCATTCACCCGACTCTGGACTGTTGCTGGCACTTGCTTCTCCTTATGACCCTTGTGTGGTGAAGACAAAGAGGGATCATTATCTGGGTGAAAATTAAACCTGGGTTCGGTACTGATTTCCTGACCTGAGGGAGCTATCCTAGCTGAGGTTTTACCTTTGTCGGGTTCCAAAGAAGAAGATGCTAGAGTGAGATTTAGTTGGCAGGGGGTAAGGCCATCACCTTCATCGTATGCACTCAAACATCGCTGCAAGGAATGAAATTTTGGGCTTTCGGGTCCTGCTTTACATGACAAAGATGAATCTGATAGGTCTAACTCTTCAGGGACGCATAAAACACCCCCAGTCCTTGAGCGCACATCTTTGGACCATCCTTCCATCCTCCCTTCAGGACTTTCCCCATCTTCATTGGAGCTTTGTGTGCTGTGTGAAAGCAAGTTGATGTCTGAAACAGCAGGTGACAACTCAAGCCTGAGCTTATTGCAAGAGTCTTGCTGAAAAATGTTCCCAAACTCGGCCCTAGAGCAGCTTTGATTATCTACAAAAATATTTTCCTGAATTGTCTGGGGGAAGTCATCAACGTGAGGGAGTCGCCTCTTCTTATTATATGATGAAAGATCCATCGATTCAAGCTTCTGAGCAAGGCGTTCAACAAACTCGGGATTCTGAACTGCTTTGTCCAGGAAGGTCAGCAATTTCTCCTGCCGCAGCTCCATGCTACTTATACGTTGTTTTAGGCTTTCCAACTCGAGCTTTGCAGCAGACTGCTGTTGTTCAAATCCCAAAATATCTCCTTCAAGATTAGTCTTTTCAAGTGACAACTTCTCAATTTCTTCCTCAAATGCTGCTCTTTCCGGATCAACAGAACCTTGAGGTTGACTGTGGCTGTGTATAGGCTTTCTGCGATGGATATTCTTTAGAAGATGTTTTTGACCTTTCACAAATTCTTCATTAGAAAATTCCCATTTTTCCGGATCAATTTTCCTAAATCCCTACAAATAAACACAGCTAGGTCATTAATGCAATTCCAGCATTTGACAAATAAAGGAAAATTAGTTGAACCCAAAATACAATTCATTCAGTCAAGCATCAGATTTATTTCACTTTCTCTCAATTTTATTTTATTTTATTTATTTATTATTTTTTTTGGGGTCAAAAGTTATACAAAATGATCCAAAAGGCGAGGCCTATGAAAATGTCAATAGTAGATAGAGAATTATTGGAAGACGTACATAATAATAAAGAGGGGAAGGTATGGGAACATATTTATGTTCATAATTCTCTGTTATCTTTACTTGAGGAAAGCAGTAGTTTAAGCAAAGAAGACCATACCATTTAAAGATGCAATACATATCGCACTGAAACCTTGCACATACAAAAGTATTAAGCATATTATGTGCACAGACCATTCAAACAAATGATAATATGCAATCCACAAGACATCTTCATTAGCATATGTATAATAACAGCCAGGTTAATACCTGCTCAATCTTCATCCCTTTTTTATCTCTTAATTTGCTAAATAAGCCTAGATGGCTGCACTTTTCAATGCCTACATATAGTAGAAACTAAATAGGTACCATATATAATTGACATTATAATTATCTGATTTATTAACATAATCAGCACATAAAGTCATCACTTCTTGCTAAATAAATATAATCCACATACAACTCCTCACGTAAATACCTATTCGGAAACAACAACAAAGCCTATTTCCCTATATACTTCTGACTGCTACATGAATTCCTTTTCCATTGCTCCACTCAGTTCACTGTTACATCTACTAAAGGTCAAAAGTAACTGAATCCTTTAACCACCAAAATAGACCATGTAAGTTTTGGTCTATCCCTAAATATGTTCTACTAAGATTGCATCAGTTATATAAACGGAAGCAAGACATGTCCCCACCATATAGGTCATCTTTCACCTGATTATGCCCCTCGACTCACCATTTATTCCATATTTACTTGCAAGAAACTAAAAATTGAATTTCACATAAAGGATCAGTGCTTGAACACGAGTAAATACAAAAAACACAACCAGGAAATTAATAAGGCAATTAGACACCTGGATTTACCTGTTTACCATAATTCCTTCACAGAAAATTTAAAGGTGATTAGCTGTCAGAAATCAAAGTTGCGTAAAGGTGAAATGGTACTTGTTCATTGCAGTAACACATACGTTTCAGTTGTCTAATTTTCTACATTTCATCTTGTGGTCCATCATTCTTTCATAGCTTCTAGTGTTTCATCATGGATTCCTTTGAGCAAGAAATGATAGCCTATCTAGTATTTCGTGTTCCTTGGTGGGTGGCAGAAAGGGAAAAAGGGAAAAAGGGTTCAAGTTGTGTGAACTCTTGCTTAGAGACCCAAATCATTTCTTAAGAAACTTCTTAGCATCAATCCGACTGCAATTAGCTGGGACCAATGGCTTTTATTGCTCTGGTCCTGAAAATTCCTCCTTCTATTGTTCCATAGCATGTTTTGATTTAGAAGAAGAGGCATTGGAACATTTGGAGGGTCAAAAATCTAAAAGTATCATGGGGTGGAAGAACTTTGAAAAGGCATAACTTTTGATCTTGAAGCGTATATGCAGGCACTTTCAAACCTGACACTGGTGATAATAGGCTCTGCCCAATTGGATCTGACTTTCAAGGCCTTAGCTTTTCCATGGCTTTATGATTCAATTTTCTTATTTTCAGTATTTTTTAAGTTTTTTACGCATTTTACACTCTATTATGAAATTTGTAATTCTTTAATAATGTTATTAGAACTTTTGGAAAAAATTTCCAGTTATTTGGTTGTGCTAGCTGGTAAATGGTTACTAGGGTGTCAGAAGATTCTACAAACAAGATTAGCTTATAAATAAACTCTTTTCCATTTTCCTGTTAGTTATGATTCGAATAACTGTATATACGTGACAAACATATGTGTAAGGGAAAATGTGATATTTGACATACAAAATGAATAAGCTAACTTAGGCGTGTTTGATTACTTTGTCAGTTGTTTGATTACTCTGTCAGTCCCTATAAATCAAGGAATATACCTGATCATAAATAAAAGGAATAGGTACAGTTGTACAAAGACTTTCAAATATTCAAAAGACCATGAATTTCTCAAATCTCCCCCTCAAGATGGTGAATAGATATTATACATTTCCAACTTGCTTGTAATTGCTTGAAATGAGAGATTTGCTAGTCCTTTAGTTAATTCTGCAAGTTGTCCATTCGTTGAAACATACGGAGTGCATGTCGATCCACTATCTAACTTCTCTTTTATCAAGTGTCTATAGACTTTAACGTGCTTACTTTTATCATGTTGAACTGAAATATGAGCTAGATTGATGTACACTTATTATCACAAAAAAGATTGATTGGTTCTCACCACTTGATTTTAAGATCTTCGAGAATGATTTTGAGCCACAATAGTTCACATATAACATATTCCATGCACCAAGGCTCTAAGTAGTGCTTTGGCATTGGATCTTGCCACAATAGTTTACTTCTTGCTTCTCTAAATTGCGAGTTTCTTCAGAGCAAGGTAAAATAGCTAGACCTTATACCTAGAACAATCCTGCCAAATCTGACTCTGTACAGGATTCTTAACCAGCTCTGTGGTCTTTATAAACAATATACCCTTTTCTGGGGGTAAACTTAATATAGAGAAAGATTCTGAAAACTGTTTGAAGATGTGTCTCTTTCGGATCGGGCATAAATTAATTACACATTCAACATAGGCTGTATCAAGTGTTATGTGTGAATGATAAATCAGTTTGACAATGACATCTAGTACCCATTTCGATCCACTGTTGCAGCCTGATCTGTTTCACTCAGTTAATTATCAAGGTCAATAGGTGTATAAAATGGCTTGCATATGAGCATTACTGTCTTTTTGAGAAGATCAAGCACATTCTTTTCTCCTGATACAAAGATTCCCTCTTTCAAATGTGCTACTTTAATTCCTAAAAATAATTGATTTTTCCAAGCTCCTTTATCTCAAAATCTTCAGCTGATCAATTTTTAAGTTAGTTTCTTTCTTCAGGATCATTATCAGTCACAATACCTACAGGTTGGCACAATGATATCTTGATTCCTTCTTATGTTTTTGATAATAACATTGACCAAGCATCTTGAAGTGAGACAGAATTTAGACAATCACAATTCATACAGCATATTTTAAATTCAGTAACTAACAATTGAGTTTCAATTACAACTAACAAAATAAATTTGCAACTCCAAAGCATTCTTTCTATGATTTTATTTATCATATAAATTAATAACTCATATAATGTCATTTTTCCTTCATTTCACGAAACTGAAAGACGTGTTGTTCCCATTTTAATTCTTACTAATGCAGACATGGAAACACAAAATTAAGCATTCTTCAATGCGTATATTATAAAAATATAGTTGCATTAAACTGCATAATGTTTGCAAGAATTCATAAACTGCTACTCAATAAATTGGGTGCCTATTCATCACACAAATATAGCAACTGTGTAAATCTCAGCTCAACCAAATTTAACAAATTTATGGCAATAAATTTAGTCAATCCCCACTCAACAAAATTCTAATGAAACTTAAAATTCGACCAAATTAAACCTTGTTTATAGCAAATAGAGCAATTAATTTCATTCAAACGAAAAATTGAAAAGTTTCATGCATTACAGCCAACGCATCTATAAATACAGATACAATAGACACACGTACATAGGTGTTGAGCTGGCGGATGAAGCTGGAGAAGTTATTGTGTTTGAAGTAGGAGGGAAGAAGGAGGCGTGCGAATTCCGGTGGGTTCCACACCACGAAGCTCTTCGTGCTCCCGCTCCACGATACGATGTCGTCCGTCGTCGAGTCATCAACCATCTCATACGTCTTCAAGAGGAACGGCGCCGGTCCACCTCCGCCTCCGGCCGCGGTGGTGGCCACCGCTGCTCCTCCGTCCATTCAGTACTCTATGATCGATTGAGAACGCGTTTTGGTACTTTGGTTCGTGGTTCGGGTCTGACTTTGTTGACGGATTTTATGTCGGGAGTTGGGTTAGTTGTATTGGTTGTTAAAATCGCACCTGTCCCTCATTTTTGACATTTTATTTATTTGAGTCCTTGATCTTTTCTTATTTAGCTTTTCAGCCTTCAACGTTGAACATTTAGGGTGCATTTGACTGCAAGTACAGAATTCGCATAGAAAGAAAATAAATACAAGGCAATTCAATTGACCAAAACTTATTTATATAGAAATTATTAATTAAATGTGTTTGATTAATTTAGCATTTAACCTAAAAAATATTATAATTGTCTATTTTTTATTAGTGGGCGCGGGTCGGGTCGGTTCAGTTCGGTTATCTTTAGAATCGAATCGAACCAAAATTTTCGGGTATCTAATAAATGGAACCGTCGGGTCCAAATATAATTATGGAACCGTTCGGGTTCGGTTCAGTTCGGTTCGGTTCCATTCGGTTCTGTACTATAATTAAATTTTTTAACATTTATAACAACATTATATAAATACAACTAATGATACATTCAATAGTTTTGGAATGCCATAGACTAATAGACTACCTTATTTAAATGATCGCTACGATCAAAGTTTCAGTCGGCGGAGGTCGCAATTTTGATCGGAGATCACAGCATCGGCCGACGATTGTATAGGTTTTGAAATGTTGACGAGGCTGCGAGAGTGAGTGCGAGAGTCAAGACAACGTTATGCACTTTAGTGTAGGTGTTTAGAGTTATTTAGTGGATTGGATCTTGTTGAGCTAAGAAATGAAATAATAAAATGGGTAATGAGGCCAAAAATTAAAAAAATTAGAAATGAAACAAATTATTGAGCCAAAATTTTGGATTTAAAAATTATTAATTTGTTAATTTATTTAGAAAAAACTAAAATTAAAATAATTTGATTTACTCAATATAAAAAAAAATTAGAAAGATTCGGTTCTTCGGTTCTTGGTCTAGAACCGAGAACCGAATCGTACCCGTCGATTCTCAATTCAGATACCCATTCGGGTATTTAATTTGACAAGAACCGTCGGGTTCGATTCAGTTCGGTTCGGTTCGGGAGATTTGCCCAGCCTTAAGTGGGTAGATGAAAGAGAGTGGATAAATAAGATAGAGAAAGAGAGAGCGAATTCCCTGAAAAATAAAAATATTAAAAATCAAAAGCACCCTTAATTAAAACTGAAAGCTCCAATCAAATTCGGTAAAAAGTCAATTTTAACCTCATATAAAAAAAATTAAAAAGACAATTTGATCGCTATTAAAATGCATTACAACATTCAATCATATTCAGTATTGCGTACTAAATATACACTAAACAAATCTCCACTTTTTGTAGCATATTATGATCCTACATGGATTAGCAAGCAAGTTATGTGCTTCCGAGAATTATAAACTTCAACATATTCCATTCCTCATCGCGATAAATAAGCATGTACACTCGTATAATGAGTTAATGACGCTAGTCTCTCTGTCCTTCAATACTACTTTGAAACTCTCATTTCAAAGTCATCCTTGAGATGCTTCTTTCCTACAGACTTGATTGTCACATCGATCGACATTTGAGAAATATATCTCAATATCCCTCTTTGATGTTGAGAGAAAATCACTTGAGATTGCTTCCACACCTCACTTGAGATTGCTTCCACACCTCTCGAACATTAGAGGAACCATCAGCAACCTCAGCAACCAGAGAAAAGGTGAAAATGCCCACGACTTAAGTTTAAAGTAACCGAAAAGGGAAATGAGGAAAAACAAAAAGTAACTGAAACAAAAAGTTCATATGACAGAATTCAGAATCAATTGGAAGCATGATTTAGTGCATCAACACTGATCAGAAGACAAGTTTCTATCTGCCTCGATAATGAAACGTAGTATAAAAATGCTAAAATAGTAAAATTATCCACTCTCCTTTATCGTAGTGCAGACTAGATATGTAACAAGACGAAGCTCGCCATCTTTATCAACCATAGAGATAAAACTCCTTCATCCTCCTCCCACCCCAAAATAATGTTTCTTTGCTGCCATGTACACAGCTCTAAGAGGACTACTCACACACTGATCAAAAGGCAAAAGAAAGGAAGTTAGCAACAATTAAACTATTGAAATAAAAAGGACATATTCGAAAACTAAATCAAGAAGCACCTTCTTGATAGGGGATGGATGAGGATAAAAATTACATGATAAAGTGTAATTAAGAAAGCAAGAATAATCATATGGGTATGGGAATCCATTATTTAATCCAATTCAAGTTTTTATTGCAGCACTGTAAATGATAATTTAATTAAGGCTTCCTGAACCATCCAATTCTGAAGAATTGCTTTCGTGTCATCTCAAAAGTGATATTAGGAAAGGACAGAAATTATACAAAACTTCATATTTACCACGGACTAAATCTGAATTGGACAATGCAAAAACCTCTTGCGTACTGAATTCCATGAATACCAGTTTTTGCTATTGCATTTAATCTCGATCATTATTAACTCACATCCCCTAAACATATTTCTATACCATTTTCACCAAAATGCCTACTACGAGTAGAAGAAACCTGGAAAAGTAAAAGGATAGAACAAATCCTTTAGCAACTCACTAGCCACAACATGCTTCAGAACCCCCAATTTTAGAACATGTTCAGCGAAGATTAAAAGTTTTTTTATAAGAAAATAAAGGAATGAATTGCTCCTTTTGCAAAAGGGAGAATAACAAAAACCAGATATATGCTGAAAGAATAATTTTACTGAAAATGCTTTCTCTTGTATCTGCAATTGCTTAGCAACACACGTATATATACAGGGAGTGAGAAGGATCTAGAATATTTACACAAATTGAATTAATTGACTGAAAGAAAAATGCTATACAACAGAATTTAACAAAAAAAAATGTCATGTGACAGAATGGTCTTCAATGACATTTTTACCCTGCATCATCATGCTTCATCTGATGGCTATTTTCTTGTTGATTATCAACTCGTTGTTGCTGACTGTACATTATCTGTGACCCACATTTCAACATACCCTCGCAAGATGGAGAGTAGATGTCAACAACTCCCATCTTGTTCACGTGCTGATAAAATTGAGAAGAGTTTAGTGACTTTGTTAAAATGTCAGCAACCTGAGAACTGCTACTAAGATATTTAGTAATTATACTTCCTTCCCGAATTTTGTCCCATATCAAATGGCAATCTAATTCAATGTGTTTAGTTCTTTCATGGAAAATTGGGTTGGCTACTATGTGGAGAGTAGATTTGTTATCACAGAACAAGACAGCAGCCTGTGGATGATTGATTTTCAAGTCTTGAAATAAGTACCAAAGCCAGGTGAGCTCACTGCAGACATTTGCCATTGCTCTATACACTGCTTCTGCTGAAGATCTGGATACTGTGCTTTGCTTCTTTGATTTCCAAGATATTAAGGATCTTCCAAGCATCACACAATATCCTATTACACTTCTTCGTGAATCTGGACAAGCTTCCCAGTCTGAATCACTATAGGCATTAAGCCGCAGATCTGAATTAACAGGGAACAATATCCTTATCCTGGGCCTCCTTTTATGTACCTTAATACTTTATTAGCAGCATTGAGATGGGAAGTCCGAGGAGAGCTCATGAATTGACTTAGTAGTTGTACTGAGTATGAGAAGTCTGGTATGGTTATAGTTAAATACAATAACCTCCCAACAAGTCTTCTATACATACTTGGATCAGGAAGAGGTTCTCCAGCCAGCTTAGAAATCTTCACATTTTGATCTAAAGGTATCTTTGTTGGCACACATCCTATCATTCCCGATTCTGTCAGTATGTCTAAAGCATAATTTCGTTGGCAAATATGAATACCTTTATTAGACCTTGCTACCTCTATTCCCAAAAAATATTTCAGTGCGACCAAATCTTTGATCTTGAATATCCTATAAAGCAAGTCCTTGAGACAGTTAATGCCGTCAATACAATTACTGGCCGCTATTATGTCATCTACATACACGAGGATAGCAGTAAAAGAACTCTTAGTGGACCTTGTAAATAGGCTATAATCAGCCTTAGATTGAGTGAAACATTGTTCAATGATGAAGGTTGAGAGCTTGGAGTACCATAGTCGAGATGTTTGTTTTAGCCCATACATGCTCTTTAATAGCCTGCATACCTTTGAGTGCTTCGCAGCAGGATGGCCAGGAGGCATCTCCATGTACACTTCTTCATCCAGATCCCCATGTAGGAATGCATTATTTACATCAAATTGATGTAAATGCCATCCTTTTACAGCTGTAACAGCAAGTAATGTCCTAACGGTTACCATCTTTGTTACAGGTGAAAACATCTTATGGTAGTCCAATCCCTCCTGTTGTGTATATCCTTTTGCCACAAGCCTGGCTTTGTACCTTTCAATAGTACCGTTTGCCCTATACTTCACCTTAGACACCCACTTACACCCAATAGATTTCTTGTTAGGAGGTAATTATGTGAAAATCCATGTGTTATTCATCTCAAGAGCTGCAATTTCATCATTCATGGCTTTACACTAGTCAGGTGAGGTTACTGCTTCTTAATATGTGTTAGGCTCAATGTGTGTAGTTATGGAAGTTACTAATGCTTTGTGATTATTTGACAATCTATGATTTGATATAGTAGCATTGAGAGGAAAAGGGTTACCTGGAATGTGAGAACCTTTGTCCTTGTCCAACTTTTGTGATGGATGATGTTCACGAAATTATTTTCTTTCGATTTAAAACTACCGTAAGTGTACGGTTCATTAACAAGTAATAAAGTGAATTAAATGAGTCCGAATATCGTCCCACGGAGATTGATTAGTTCAAATTTTACCTACCGTAGCCTTAACCAAAACTAAATTACCAAAGTGAATGTAGACCTAATTGAACATCAATTATGCAATTTTTTTATGATTAAATTGAAATTAATATGCAAAACAATAATTTAAAACTCTAGAATGAAATCTAAAAGTTGAGAATGCACGTTGTTATAATTATTAGGAATGAAATACGCTAGGATCATGAATTCCCATGCAATTATCACTTTAAACCC